AAAAATTTCATATCTGCAAGAGGTTTAGCTCATGCCACTGGGGACTGCCTTATTCTTGACAGAGCAACTCTGGCAGAACATTATGTGATTTCATCGACATTGTTTCTGTGGGACAGAGGGACTCAGGTTGAATCGGAAGGCATTTGTTTCAAAAAAGCAGAAGTAGATTAGGTAGATAATGATTGCAGCAGCATGATGTCTCACCTGTATGTATAGATATAACTGTCAGCCTTCATTTCCAGATGCATTGAATGCAAAAAGACTTGCACGTATACATAAATGTCTGGCTCAGGGACTCCCCACAGTCTGGCATACATGATTAGCAATTCCCGACCTGTCATGTAGTTCAGCAAGGGGTCAGATTGAGGACAATAGCCAATTCTTGACCTAATCTGAATTAAAAGGGTAATCATGAGCAATAGATCCAAGTCAACTATTTTATTGAGCATAACGTCCCCATGGATGAAATAGAATTTTTCCAGCCCATGAAGCTAAGAAGATTTGAAAAATATAAAGCTCCCACCGAGACGTCCCTTTCTTTCATTCTATAGAATTATTGCAGTTACAGCTCAATGTAGTAAACTGGAATAATAATAGTCTTAACTGGACTTTACAACACATATTCTTTGTGTGCTACTGTGTGCCCACGTTAGATTTTGTTGGTTTGTTACAAGAAATGGCCTACTATTCTACAAACAATAGGAAAGAGCTAATCTATTGAATCAATTAAAATACTATATAAAGTTCCACTTCCAGTAATAGCTAAATAGCATCTTTGGACCATTAGTACACATATGCATAACAACTATAATTTTCTGTTTCTTTTTCTGTGTGTTGATGTATAAACTTTAACCAATGTAGGTGAACAGAACTAAACAGATATTTCACACATAGAAGAGAGTTTATAGTTTGAGTCTAGTTATCTTCTATTTTTGAAAAACTTTTGCGTGGTTTGAGTGACAATTTAAAGAGCAAATTGGTTTACCATTCAACAAATCATACATATTTTGCTTCACTACATTGCTTGCAGTATGTACAAAGTAACCACTGAGTTCTTCTCTCTTCCTTCTGTTATTCGTCATTTTAATACATCCTTCTTCCTCTTCCATACCTGCATTCGAAGCTTTATTTGAGGGCAAATAATTCTCTTTTGATTTTGTATGGTAGGTTGGTCTAAGGAGAACCTGCTCTCTTTAAATTATTTTGGGGTTTGTTCCACACTTCCTCCCTGATCTAGGGCCTTCTATTGTGATCCCTTTCAGAGCAATGAGTAGTGGGAGCTAGGCACCAACTAGTTCTTCTAGTTTCAGGTGGTGCAGACTAAGGTTTGCATGGTACTTTGGTTCAGTGGGTTGATTTCTTTCAAATTTATTTATTTTAGCTTTCCATTGTGGATTAGGTGAAGGTTTTTGGAGTAAATCAGTTTTCCATGAAAGAATCCATGCACTTTCATGTGGTTGACCGAAATCTCCACACCATAACATCATTTATACCATCCCTCCCTGTGTTTCTTATTTACATCCCCCTTCCTTTCCCAAACTTTATCCATGGTAAATGCTGCCCTTAAAAAAAAAATCTCAAATGACTGATTATTCTAAGGGGTGTATACTTAACTAGTGTTACTGTTACTCTTACAGATCTGTCAATTCTCTTGTTGAATATTTAGCAATGGGGTTAACCCATTCCCAGGCCAGAAGGGCTGATAGTTTTCCATTCGTTTCTATCTCATCAGTAAGCCTGGTCTTTTTAATGATTTTTGAACCTTAAAAAATATTTTCTCATATTTCTTCTGGAACTTTCTAATGTGATCCCCTTTCAGAGCAATTGCTAGTAATTGCCAGGCACCATCTGGTTCTTCTGGTTTTGGGGTTATGGGAACAGATGTTCCTGTGGTTCATCAGTCCTTTGGATGAGTTGTTTCCATGTATATTTAGTTTTCTCTACTCATCTCTGCTCCTCACAGGGAAAGACCAATAGTAATATGTTAGATGGCCAATTCCAAGCTTTTAAGCCTCAGTCACTACTTACAAAGGTACAATATAGAACACTATCTTTGTGATTTATTAAAGCCAATTGACTTCAATGTACCCCATGACTATGGTCCCAAGTCTAAGTCCAGTGATTCAAATCCTCTTGGTGCTTGACTATGGCTACAAAGGTTACATACCTTTGGCCTCTGCTTGTTCTATTACAAACATGGCTATGTTTCAATGAACATATGGTTATAGCTCTTATGTACATGTTTGTAGAAATATTGACTGCCAAACCTATATATGGTTGTGAGTGTTGTCCTGAGTATTCTTATGTTAGATGACTGTAAAAAGTTTTTAATTTTTTTCAAGGACTACAATAGAGCCAAATGCTCTATTCTGGGATTTAATGTAACATTGACAACTGAAGGCATAAGCGAACCTGACTCTGTTCCATAGAAAAGGCAATCAATGAAAATTGATGCTCAGATTCCCAGTCCCGTGGAATAAACTGAAAATAATTTTCAAGAGACATATAAAACTAATCGTGAACATATGATACATCTTTTTTCAATACAGAGGACAAGGAATCAAAGCAGAGAGATATAAAAAAGGCTTGAATGGAAGCTCTAGAACTTAAAAGTTTCAATGGCTGGGCTTAACAGAAATTGGAATGAGATAAGAAAGATCCACTAAACTTGTAGAACAATAAAAACGATCCAGTCTAAACTATAGAAAAAATGCACTGAGCCACACAACTTATCACACAAGATTAAAAAGTTGAGAATTTATGAAAATAAACTCCTAGAAAGAATGCAGAACAAGAATTGAACATTAAAATTTTACCAAAACTTCACTAAATCTGGCTCATTGGATTTGTAGAACGATAACAATGGGGGGAAAATCATGCTTAAATACATTTTGTCTGAGTCCCCAATAAAATGATTAAAAAAAACCCCAAAAAACATTTTGTCAAGCAGCTGGGAATGAAAGAATAAGAAAAAACATTGAATTTTTCTAGACAGAAACAACACATTCTATATAGAAAGAAAAAATATACTGCTGACTTCTAATTAGAAACTATGAAGGCCAGAAGACAGTGGAAAGTTCTTAAACTATAGAATTTTATATCTAGCAAAAATACCCATTTAAGGGTTAAGGCAGCTACATTTCAATTGGCCTAAGCTGGGAACAACCTAAATAGCTACTAACAGGTGAATGGATAAGCAGTGATGGCATCTCCATACATTGGAACACACTCAGTAAAACAAAGGACAAAATATTAATACACACACAACATGAACCTTTAGTTATGAATACATGAAGAAGCCAATGAAGAATTCGTGTTATTGAAATCCAGATACATGACTTTCTATAAAGT